CCCCCCCCCAAAAGATCCCAAATCCCGCCTCTTGTGTTATAAATACATAATTAAACAATTTGGATTAGTTCTCTGAATTCTGATTGGCTCTCTAGACTGTGAATTGCATGGAGAAGTTTTAATTACACGCATGCCATAAACAGTGATAATCACCAATTTTCATGGAATTAATTACATTACTCTGTTAACTAAAAGGTTAAGTAAAATGTGTAAAGCGAATGTAAAATAAAACTTACCAATACTTCTCAGAACAGTCTGCACGTGTTCCTCATTCAATGAGTAGAAAGCATAGCAAGTGAACAACTTGGCAGTGCTGCAGTTTTCATCCCTGGTTTGAGAACATTAAGATGAAATTATTAAAGGGTATCTTACTGCAAAGAGAAATTCAGAGATTGGGAGAAGTCATTTACCCAGCAATATATGCAAAATGATTAGGAAATTTCATTGTTCGGCCACATGAAGAAATTTCCATATAAGAGTGTCTCAGTAAAACCTACAACACCAAAAACTTCAAATCAAATTAAACACATACTGATGAATAAAAAAAAAGAAATAATAAAACTTATAAAACTTATATAAAACTTATATCAAAAACCTTATATAAACAAACACCATTTCTAGTGCTTTTCTTCATCTTTTTAAGTAAATCTTATTTAAGAAAACAATTTTAACACAGGGCACATTTGAAGTTGTCATAAAAGAAAATATAACAGATGAAACAAATTTTAAACTAGTATAATCTCTGTATATTAGAAAAAGTATATCATTTCTAAGTTAATTATTTTCCGATACATCTACCTGACAACCAAACTAAAATCTATATTTTCATTAAATTTTTAAGTTTGAAACACATTCATATTCACATTCACATTCATATATGCACTTAAGTTTAAGTGACAATATACCTCTCCAGTATCCTGATCTACTACACGTACTCCAATTTCCTGAATTTCAAAGAATGCCAACTGCTGCAGTGGTTGGGGACGATCAAACATTGTCAGAAGGGCTCGCTCGATCTGCCTGACATCTCCTTCCCTGCCAGTGCAAACACACCCAATATAACGGACTGGGTATCCTGCACTACATACAGAAAAAACATTTTAATACTTTCTCTAGAAATAAAAGATCTAATCTCTTAAATGAACATTCGATACTGCATTATTTTAACAAAAATGCAGTAAATTTCTACATCATACATTCTAATCATTTGTCAGCTGAATGTTACAGCAAATTCTTGTAAGTTTATAAAAAGTATCATTTTTTCATTTACAATACTTTGCAAAGTGTTAACTTTTCATACAAACAATATACAACAAAAGAAACCTTGTATTTGGGACAGAGAAATGACATTCACACTAGTGGAACTAAAACAAGACATACTTTCTCGCCCTTAGTAATACTAACGTAACACTATTTATATTGCAATTAAACACCTGTCAAGACATTTTCAGGCAAAGTGGAACGCACCTTCTCAGCACTCTTACATAAACAACGATAATGAAACTTTGTCCTATTCCCAAAATTTAAGAAAACCTAGAAAGAGAGAGCATTGAACATTGAATAAATAAAAGCAAAATCACTGAAGGAGCATGAAAACTGTTTTTCAGAAGAGCTTTGAGGACAAGAAAAATGCTAGCACAAATGTATTATATATCAAGCTAACTATTTTGAATACAATAAAATTAATATTGATGATTTTTGATTATTGATGAAATTATTTATAAAATATTTTTAAGAAAAACTAAGTTTCAGCATATTGATCGTAAGATAACATTTGATATGAAACAAGGCTTTGAATCATCCAAGCCCAGATTAACTGCGGGCAGTCATTAGGAAAAACAGAATAACTCATTGCAAAATGTCTCAATGCCGTTACAGACTTTAGGAATATTGAATCTTCTCCCAATTCACTAATCATTGGATCCCCTTGTCAAACGTTGAGCGTGTCGTTCATCATTGACACTGTTTTACTTGTCCCTCAATGTACTTTTATTCCATTTGTTTCATGTACCCTGCTGTCCGGGAGACGCCGCGTCCAAGGCATAGATGCCGATATTTCTGCGACCGAGGATGTTCGCAGAATTGCGGCCGGAACGTCGTCACATGAGCCTTGGACGCGGCGTCTCCAAGTAGCCAAGTACATACTGACTGTGCCCGCCTATGCTCTATCTCCATTTGTTTTGTTTTATGTAATTTGTGTATCGACACTATACACAATTCTTTACGAAATACTGTCCTTGATCCTTGTCAAATACACTATGGATTATCAGTTTTCGTACCCGAGGTAATATCGGACCCCAATGACCTTGGATACTTGCATGTCTATGAACAAGATAAGATTTGTAAAATGTTCATGTTTTTTAGCAAAATACGCAAATACTTATTGTTGATCATTATTGAACAAAAAAACGGTTTCTTTGCATTGAAAACATAATAACATCATTTTTATAAAGGAGATATCTAGAAAAAGACTTTGTCATAAACAAAAACAAGAACTTATGAAGCCTATAACTCTAAAATGATTAATTTTAAGACAAACTTTTACAGGGACATTTTTGTAAGAAAAGCTTGTCGTTTGGTTTTGTCTACTTTAATTTTGTACAGAACGTAAGTTTCGAATCAATAATTATGAAGATATCTGCAAAAAAACATCAAAAGCATCTGCAAAAGCAACCCCGCCCCCGGCTCACCCTCCGCACTTCAGGATTTTTAGTATGGAGTAGGAGCTTCCCCTTGGGATACTGCCTTGTAGTAGCACTGACCATGGGAGGCTTGCGTGATGGAGGTGGAGGGCTAAGCTGGCGGTAGCATGCCATTTTCGCATGACTACTGGTAGGGTCATCCATGTCGGACAGGACAAAACTAAGAAGCCAGACAAATTCGTCTCCTACAACGTCGTATGACCTAATCCTAATGACCTCTACCTTCTCTCTTTTTATTCATTCCTACACCTATAAAATCCATGGAAACACTATCTTAAGAGTTTAAAGACTTTTCTTCTTTTTTTATTGTTTGCATCTGGATTGATGCAATGCGTCTCCAAGCCCCTTGGGGCGTTGAGCACTTTGCACTTAGAGTAATCCTCCATTAATTTGTGCAATTGGAGTAATCCTCTATTAACAATCTGTGTCACGTCTCATCGCAGTCAGTTGTCAAAAGTACCACCAGGTTGCATCTATGCGTACGCGCCTTCTACTACGTGCTCCTGCGTCACTACCCATCAGCCAGAATTGGGAAGGAATTAGGAGAGGGATAAGGTCTAGTAAAATTCACAGGGGTTGGGCTAGCCCTTGTGAAGCGAACAAAATCGTTTTGTTAGAACAAATTTCACATGAAATTGTCCGGGAATCGAACCCGGAGCTCCTTCAGGCGAGCAACTTTGCTCTAAGCCACCGTGACACCCTCATTAATTATGAAGAGACTAATTATGGATTTGTTTCGTCTTCATTTAACAGAAAACGAAAAATTTAAGAATGAACTTGGAATACACATTTGGAGACATGATGAAAAATAATTTGTTGTCTTTGTAACTGAAGCAATAATGTTCCATAAAGAAGCCATTACAAGAATTTCCATAAAACTACAACAATAAAAACAGTTTCATTTATAACAAAAAACAGTGTTTTTCGCAAGAATTAATAAGAAAATGTGTTGTTGAAAAATTGTTGCCAGCACCCTACGCTGCGTGTGCCCTTTTCTGCCAGAGTAGATGACAGATCTGTTGATATGGGCAGAAATTGCAGTATATTACACAACCATTATTAAGGACAGGAAAGTATATGCTGTTTTAAGACCACTAGTTTCCTGTAGCATTACAATACTTTCTCAATACTGTGTATGCAGTAGTGAGAAAGTAGAAATAGCAGGATGATGTTGGACATAAAAACATCTATTATTTGTAAACTTATTTCGCTTCATTTCACGTTCCATTTTTAGTTGCCAATTTTTTGGGGCAAAAAAGGAGCTTACATGAAAAAAAGAATGGTACCAATCTATTTAAAAAAAGTTGAAAAGTGTTATCTGTGCAAACTGAACTTCAAAAATGGAATTCAATTTAACAGTAAAAAAATCAGCTGAAGATTGAAGATGTCAATGCCATTGAAAACAATGAACTACTTAATTTCTACAAAAATCTCAAACTTACCTTAGATTATTAAATGGCTTTTTGCTAGAAGTTCTTTGTGGCAGTTCAGGTTTGTATAGAGCTTTGACTTCATCAGGGTCAATATGACAATGACGTAATAAACTCATAATTGGAGGGAAAATTTCATCTGAATCATTGCACCATGCCTACAGAACATGCAATTAAATACACTTTTCATTACCTTCAAGAGCATTTTTCATAGCATTATATCTTTAATATCCAGGAATAAACATGTCTGTCCTACAATCAGCAAATCACTTTAAAAATTACAATATGTTTTCATATGTAATTATCCAAAGCAATCATCAATACAAAAATGGAGTCTGGTTTATAAGGGTTTAAATATTGTTTTTTTTTACATCTAAGTAAGAAATTATACCTATTTTTAAAGAAAGTAATTAATTTAAGTTATAAAATTGAAAAATCTCTTAGATTTAATTTTTTTATTACAATCTTAACTTTAAATTAAGCATAATTGTTGCAAAATGACTAAAGTTAGTCAAAATTGTTTTAATATCCAAAAACATTTAAACGTTTTGTACTCACCCTTACTATATTGACAGTTACTGGTCTGTTAGCTCCTTTCTTCATTACTTTTGACAACTTGTGTCGAGTATTCAGAGTTACATACATGCCATTTAATTCATCTAAAATGTCTCCAATCTGAATTTTTTCCTAGAAAATATAAAGAACTCTTTTAATTTAAATTTCGAATAACTGTATTACTATAGGATTACTACATTAATACAAAAAAATATTCAAGATTTCATGACATGTTATGAAAGTAATAAGCATGCATATATTTTTTCCAGTAATTTTTATTAAATAACAATATATCAAATTTAAATGAAAAGCATACAATAAGTTCTATTTTTGATGCGTACCATTCAAAGTCTATTTTAAGGCATTTTGATGCACCTGAGTAACAATAATACAAATGCTTCAAAAGTTGGACGAACGCGTCCAGACGATGAAGGAAATCAAGATTAGAACTGCACCGGGACCTGACGGAATTCCCAACGCGATCCTGGGGATAGTTGTAAAAGAATACCCAGAATGCCTTTTAAAAGCCTTTAACCAGTGTCTTGAACAAGGGAATTCTATAATTCTAAACATCAGAAGCTAATTCTCATGCGGAAAGGTAACAAGCCAATCGATCGGACGTCATCGTTCAGATCTTTGTGCCTGCTGGATACGATGAGCAAATTACTGGAGGGTTTGCTCCTTCTACGACTAAAGAGACATGTCCAATTTTCAACAGTTTGGATTTAGGAAGGGGCTCTCGACAATAGACGCGATCTCAGAAGCAGTCCACCATGCAGAAACAGCAAAAAGGAATAAGAGTTTTTGTGCCTTGGTTGCGATTGACATCAAAAATGCCTTTAATTCTGCCAGCTGGAAAGACATCATACAAGCCCTAGTAGCTAGAAAGATCCCTGAATACTTTGTGAGGATCCTGGAGGACTACCTCAGTGAGAGGAAAATAATCTACACTAACGGGTATAGGATTGAAGAAGATATGACGTGCGGTGTTCCACCGGGATCAAGATTGGGCCTCTTCCTGTGGAATACTCTGCATGCCGACCTGCTGAATATTGAACTCCCAAAGAACTCCAGTCTCATAAACTACGCCAATGACACACTGATTATATGCCATAGTGACAACATGGAACTGCTGGAAATGAAGACAAACGAAACACTAGGCAGGTTTAAAAGATGGTTGGACCAAAGAAATCTCCAAATGGCTGTTGCCAAGACGGAGGCCGTGTTGATTACAAACAGCAGAGCATTCCTCCCCCCTGGTGATCCGACTGGGGGAGGAACTTATTGAATGGAAACGGCATATTACATACCTGGGGGTGGAAATTGATTCACGATTGAGCTTTGGACCCCACATTATAAAATCAGCAGGTAAAGCTGCAAAGACTGGATCAAACCTCTCCAGACTAATGCTGAACTCAGAAGGTCCCAGTGAAAGCAAAAGAAGGTTAATTTCCGTCGTAGTGCACTCAAAATGCTGTATGCCGCCTCAGTGTGAGCAGAAGCACTAGCTTAAGAGTCCATTCGACAGAAATTGTGGATGGCCCTAAGGATAATCTCAGAATATCGCATGATATCCGACAGTGCAGCCTTAGTACTGGCCAGTGTCCCCCCGGTGGACCTTTTAGCCCAGAAAAGGAGGACAATGAACTTGGGGACGACAGCAGATAAACAACTAACCCTTTCAAAAAGACAATTGGACAATATCAAAGCGGAATTGAGAACTGCACCAGTGGCAAAACCGATGGGACCTGGAGTACAAAGGTATATGGACACACAGCCTCATCCCTAACATCAAAGATTGGACCAGCAGGAACCATGGCAGCAGGAACTTCTACTTGATGCAAGCCTGTGTGAATCGAGGAGGTTAGGTTTTAGTCGGTATGCCACGCTGGAGAGTCTGACATAACCGGACTTCCGGTATGCACAACGCATTTCCCTCTCCTCGACAAAAAAAAAAGCTTCAATAGTTATCTCATAGGACTTTTTTTCTCTTTTTTTTTTCTCCCTCCACAAAGAAACATTGGAAGATGTCATAACTATTATTTATTTAATATTCTTGAAACTGATTTCATAGAAATGATTTTTAGTTTTGCCTCTAAGATGTGTTAACTGTAATTAAACAATCATTGAATCACAATATAATACCAAAATCATAAATAAAGCTGTAACCACTTTAATGTTCAGAATACTGTTTTCATCCTTCAACTTTTGAAAAAATCAAGCTGTTTATTGGCCACCACCTTGATTATGATCCTGGTTCTAGTTTGAATTTTAAAATTCTCACATGTTAAAAATTTAAAATTCTTGGAGGAGAAAGAAGCTAACACTCAGGATCTGAATTCTAGCAACGGTATTCAATCTAATCTGAATTCTAGCAACGGTACTTTCTGTGCAAAGATATCTATTGCTTTTCTACTTACATCTTCAGCTGCAACACTATTACTTCTTATTCCAATTACAACAGCCTTTCCACATACAAATCTGTAAAACATTTAAATAATATATCCCAGTCAATTCAGACACCAATAGTAAGCTACTTACATGGTTATTTTGAAAGTTACAATTCAAAAACATTTAGAATAAGAAAAGTTTATATAAAATGAATTACATTAGTGCAGTAAAATATAAATTAAAATGCATTCTACTGTACTTACTTCACAGAAATTCCAAGTGATCTACAGGGAACAAATTCCAAATGTTCACAATGAGGCAACTGCCACGTGTCATCTAGAAATGCACAGTTACTGATATCTAACTTAAACGTAATCCTACTGCATTGCAGAAGGACTGAGAGGAATATTTCCCCCAGTATGTCATCTCCTAAAATACAACCTTTATCATACACATGAGTAATGGATTTCTGACGAATCTGTAATAAATATTGAATATCACAAATTACTAGAAACAAAGCAACAAAAAACTAGCAACAAAAAATAGGCAAATTAAAAGCAGATTAGTATCTACTTCAGCACATTTTATTTTGCATTAAGAGTACAGACAGTCACGAGAATTTTATTCAGATTATCTGATGTTGGGGAGTGTCTCTTATCAGACAATATCATTTTATGCATAGAAAATTATCCTTTCACATCACATGATGTTATGGGTGAGAACTTATATTTTGACATGTTTGTGCTCAATACGTTATCTGGAAGAGGGTCACTTATTTCCTTCCAAGAATAAAGTATGAAGTACTAGATTGTTTCCAAAAACCTAATTGGTTTTCTTCCTAATTGCTTCCCCTATCTCACCTGAAGCTGCAACCAATTTATTTTGTCTAATAATTGCAAGTGCACCTACTTAAGTTTCACTTGAACTCTCCATCTTCTTTATTGAGTTTCGAAGAATACCAAAATGTGCTTCAATAAATACAAGATCCTCTTGGAGTCTTCTATTGCTCAGCACTACCATGGCTTTGTTAATGGAAGGAGACTTATCCTCTTTCAGTATGTTAATTACCTCTTCAACCTTCCCCAGTTTTGCATAGAATGTAGCTGCAAATACCCATATACCCCACCGTGTAATACAATAATAGGTTTTGGAGACAAAGGAAGATCTTCCATCTTCTTGTTCATAGAAATTCTTTGTGGAGCCTTGCAAAATATCTTCTTAATCTGGTTGATAGCTTCATTTAAATTTGGACTGAATTCGCTGATACCCTGTGCAATGCATGAGCACAGCATGTCACTTGTACATTATTAAGAAATCATTTTTTTATTGTTATGAAAAATTTTATCATGCATGGTGCAACATCAGTTACCATTAGAAGCATCCTCTCATCCCTATCCTCACAAAATTCTTACAGATTGATTAATAAATCTTGTGATTGTTCTGAAATTTTTCTTTTCAAGCTGCTGGCAAGCAAGTAAATGAGCCGCAATTGGCTTTTTAGGAGGGAGGGTGATAAGACACAACTTGCTTCCTGTGGGGGGAAGGATTTTAAGAAAATCAAAGCTTCATCAATCAAAGTTAATTTTTAGTTGAATAAAATAATTTTTTTCATTCAACTGAATGCATTTCTTGAAGATCAGTTATGTTATTATCATTTTCTAGTAGAAGTGTTTAATCTTCTATTTGAAAAATCAAATTATGTTGAAGGGCAAATTGACTGCACTGCGCGTTCTAGTGTGATCTTCTTCATCGGTATTGAAAGTATTTGAAGTATTTATTTGTTTAAAAATTCCTATTTAATATCATAAAATGTACTTAAATATGTATTTCAAATATAAGTATTTAAATACTGCCCAACCCTGAATATAAAGTACAACATATATTACATCCTATTTTCTTCTTCTTCTTCACTTCACGGATTAGGCTCATGACCTGTTCCGATTTCACAAAGCATTCATTTCCATCTTTTCCTCTGTCTGCCTATATTTCTTGTACCACGAGGATGATAGTTATAAACTTTTTTGGGTATTCTTGTATTTTCCATTCTTCCTGTGTGTTCTTTCCATCTCTCTCTGTATACCTCTATTTTCCCATTTATAGCTTCTATTTTTAATTCCTGTCTAATGTCATCATTTTTTATCCTGTCAGATCTAGTACATTCTTCCACTCTTCTTAAAAATCTCATTTCTTCAGCCTGTATTCTATCATCCTTTTTAGTTGTTATCCAACTTGCACTTCCATATAGAAGCATTGGCACGGCCATCATCTTATAAAGTTTTTATTTTTGTATCTTCTCTAGTTTTTTGCCTAATGTTCTAGTTATTGTGCCGCAAATATATTGAAATTTTTGGATCTTATTTTCTATATCATTATCTCGTTCGTATCTAACATCACAACCGAGATAATTGAAGTGTGAAACTTGTTCTATAATTTCATTTTCTATTACAATTTTTGATCTCACAGGGTGTTTCCCATAAAAAGCCATAACTTTTGTCTTGTTTATTGCCATTTTAAAATTATATTATATCCTATTTTATAATATTAATTAATTTTTAACTTTCAAAATTGATCCAAGAAATAAAGAATACAGGGGAATGTAAAAATTTAAGTATCTGATCTTTTAGTATAAGCTCTTTATGCTCCTGTCCATTTTGCTAAATGTTTCTTCATCAATCAGAAAAGATTGACTTAAGCTTAGTGACATAATCTAATCTGAATTAAATTTACTTAACTTACCAGAATTTCAACAGGAACATGCAAACATCTATTGACAAGGCACACACGTATGAGATGTCGCAGTTTCCCTAAAGCAGTTGATAACTTTGGTGAATTCTTCACATGTGTCACAGATGATATGTAATTATAGTTTGCCCTAAATCAGAACAAATACAAAAATATAAAGCCAAATAGAATTTAAATAACAGCATGGATAAATTAGTTTAATAATTTACCCATGTTCCATTGTCGCAATTTCTTCTAGCCAATGCCAACTCTCTGGCACTTTGAGAAATCCAAGAGAATAGCTACGCAAGAGAAGCCCTTTTTGGAAAATTCTTTCAACATAGCTGCAAAATTGTTTAAGATTTTCATTACTATCTAAAACTTCTAAATTACTGGATGACTGAACCAACTGCAATGTACAGTCTGAAATAAATATTAAATTAAAGATGTAATAATTACATCTGTATTGGCAATTTCATTTACTGGAAAATCAATACATTGAGGTTATGAAATATCACTTACTTTTTAACTGTTTCAATGTGGGGTCAGTAACAGACATTTCGACGATTTCACATTCTCACATAATTGATATTTTTTTCTGAAAACTACATACCACGCTTCCCACTTTGAAAATCGAAACTCTGAATCCAAAACGTATACATGATACCACGCACAAGCAGCTTTCAGCTTTCATACATGAGTGCATGTTGTGGATGAGAATTTGCACCTATGTTAATATGAACTGTCAGTATTACTTGCAGTGTCATTTGTCCAGTAATTCGAGATAATTGTTTGTTTTGTTTGTTGTTCCAAGCAACCCGAGTGAATTCGCAGGATACTTAAGCTATCTTATCTCTCTTGTCATATCGGAATTTGACATTGCATCACATAATAAAGTAGAACGATAACCTCGTAGTGTCACTTTCGAAGTTGTTAGTAACACTACAAGATAGTTTTCGAGATGGCAAGTCAATATGTTACAGAAGAAGAGTTATTGCAATCTGCAATTTCTGCACATGAATTATTTTTTAATTCCCCACCCGAAGTTGCGGCTGCTGCTCCGGGCCGAGTAAATTTAATTGGAGAACATACCGACTATAATTATGGATTCGTACTTCCAATGGTAAGTGCTAAGTAGCCTATTTTTAGTTCGGTGCTTTGTTTAAAAATCTCATCACATTCTGTCGTATCAATCGATAGGATAATGTGTAACTTTCACCTTCCGATACTTCTGATATCAGAATCACGGCTACGCGGATTATTTGCCACGTACTACATATCTCCCGCTGCACAGATTGCAGCCGTGTTGGGGATACTTTAGGTAGATTGGATATTATTTACAGTAGAGTATAACATTCGTATTCACACACATCGCTGAACTAATAAATAAGTGGTGCCACAAGTGCCACAGATGTTCTTGCAATAGTAATTTTTCTTATCCCTTTTTGTGTGGGCTAGCTTTTCGGTTTTGCTCCACTCTTCCCAAGTTGGGAATCCCAACTGCCATCTAGCCTATAACTATAACTTGACTATAAGTCATTTTTTGCATGTTTTCTGGATTTTTCTATTCCCTGATGTTAGAATTGAAGTGTGACTAGAAATATTATAGAATAGTAAAATCTGGTCCTACAAGCAAATTTTCATTGAAATATTTGGAGCCGTTTTATAGAAAATGTCGTTTGAGCGTATCTGAAAATGCGCAGTATTGAACGCATTTAAAAGAAAACATTTCAGTTTTTGAGAAGCTACATATATCATTTGTAGCACTTGCACTCCCAAATGCAATAATGTTTTAAAACGCCAGTTATATAAATATTAACGACGTTACAGGTGTACAAGAAATACCTGAGTGAGATATTTTGTAATCAAAACGAAAAAACTCATCGAAATGGCGTTTATGTAATTTTATTTTCTCGCTTTTACTAACGTAAGAAGAGAAAGCAAGGGAGTTTGTTTACCCTCAAACATTAAAGCACTACTAGCGTTCCCGTGCGAGAACTCTCGCATGTTAATCCCTACCCTTTTCATTAAAAAGGAAAGTTGTTAAAGATCATGTTTACTAAAACATGTATAAATGTAAATTCGTTCTCGCACAATATGGAAAATAAATAAAAACAATGCCATTGACGATGGAAACAAATGTTCAGTAAATGTTAAATCAGTATTATAGAGACATGTTAAATGAAGTTTTTCCTAAATGTATTCGTAAATGTCATTGTGCAAAAACATTAATATGACTTACCAGGCCGACTTGGACCCTCACAACGTTGTTATTCATGTTCACTTTCTGAAAGGTCATCATCATCGTCAGAATCCCTGAGTCTCCAACAGTTTCTTCCAATTTTTTAGGTGTCAAAAGAAAGCGCACTTCATCTGATAGATTTTTATTGGTTTTCTTAGTAATTTTCCTCAAACTTGGGATGAAGGGGGCTGACGAGAGACGTAGATTGTGAAGTATGACTTCATTTGTATTCTGGACTTTTTTTGCGAGTGGTTTTCTCTAAAATTTCTGTATTCCTTGTGTTTTAGTTCCAGAACATCTGAGAGCTATCCAATTATCAGTAGCATACAGTTTATTATATAGACTGAATTAGTATCGGATGCATGTTACAGGCATATGGAACCATGAGTAGAGACATACTTCTGTGTTGTAAGTGTAGCTCGTGAATGACGGCACTATTATTGGATGCCCACTGGCTATGGTAGAGATAATATTTGAGAACCTTTCGATCAATTAGTTCACAGTCAATTCCTATTACCTCAGATGACTTTTCAGAATTATCAAAGAACTGTTGTGCAGTATTACCGTCATTTGAGTTTCCATTTCTTTGCTTTGGCACATCTACAATCAAATGCATCTCGCTCCAAAATTTAGCATGAATATCTTTTTTTCTGCGGTCAACAGCTCCCTTTTCTAATTTCCAATTTATAAGGTTACAAGCACTCAAAGAACTTTCGCGAGCGTGGAGAAGAGAAAGATGAAAGGAAAAGTTTTCTTTCTTGTACTCGCGTTTTGTAACTTCCTCTAGCTCATTCACAATTTTTGGTGAGGCACCACAAATATAACACACTTTTTGGAATGAGCTATTCATTAAACTACAGCAAACTTTACCATCTATCATTGTTTGGATTAGAACTTAGTTTACTTGAAATTGGTGTTCACCAATTAATACAAATGCGGATTTAAATTGTGCTACATCCTTCTCTATCCGCTGAAACTCCACTCTTATTGTTGCGAATGCTTTGGTGATGAATTGGAAACGGAGTGGTTCGCAGTACCGTGTTTATTCTAGAATTGTCTCTCTTTATTCTAATATTTTCTAGAATTATCCCTGTTGTTTTTTTTTCAGATTCTGCTGTTCTAGCGAACATTTGCAGAGAGACATTTCAGAAAACAAACATATCCGCATTCTTATCAGTTTCTCCCTCCGAGAAATGTTGCTTGTAAGTGCTGCGACCTCCACTTCCATCACAACTCCATTCCCAAGTCATCTGCAATGTTTCTCAGTTTTTCCATCACAATTTTTCAAAATATTGGTTATAATTTCCTGGATTTTACACAAACGCGTTAAAGTGAGATCTAGAATGTCCTGAAGGTTAATTTCAGCCAAAGTATTAGAGTAACAGCCGAATTATCCGGATAACATTCTCTTAGTATTACGTACGGGTTGCGAGTCATTTTCATGTCCAATATTAAACCTAGTTCTTTTCGGGAGAATAGCATTTCCGGCTGTGCAACTTTGGATTCTGCTGCGCTGTGCGCTTCATTCTACCAAGGGTTCTAGGAATACTTAGTTGACGCCTGTTTATGACATCGGCAACCTTCCTTTCGCCACTTAATGGGAAATTGCGCTGAACGGCAAATAACAACTCAGAGAAGCTTATTTCTGGTAACATGTCGCTGACCTTTCGCTGCTTTCGTGTAAGAGCTTCTTAGACCTTCCTCGACTCGTTGTGGGGGGTTTTGAACATCCCGATACACTAATCTCCCGATACATTAATCTGTTTCCGACGTTTTGTTAAATTGTAACAAAACGTTCTGTTTTTCTTCCGAATTTCTTCATCAGTTGACTTCGATACTTCGTTAAATTCCAATCATGGTATAATGTAATTAAATAAAATGTTTTTATTTTCAAGTGTCGAGACATTCTAAATGCCAACACGAACCTGAACTCGAACAGTTGTCTTCGAGTGATAACGCCGCGCGAGAGTGCAGTTCCTACAAAAGAGCTGCTGATGGTTACACGAACTATTGTACCAGCTCAGAAGAAATATACGTAGTAAAGAGCCAGTACAATTTTGAACGTGAATTTATCTTCTTTTGTAGAGGGGCATGAAACTTGAGCCTTCGTGGTTTAGTTCATTGGTCAGCGTGCTCGCTATTCATGACACGACCCCGGGTTCGATTCCTAATCGGGCAAGATTATATGGTGCGTTTTCCTTGCAATGTCCTAGAATATGTAGCTGTGTGATGAAAAACACACTTCTTAGGTTGAGAAGACCAGAATACAGCCTAGGGATGTCTTCGTACTTACCTCACATACCCCTTAAATCCATGGCCGTGAGGCCGGGACGCTGCTGGTAGGCCCTGGACCGTTTGCAGTCTGTGGCATCAAGTGCAGACAGGCAGACACGAAATTTGAATCTTTTAAAATCCATCTACATAAATGAGTGTTAAAATAATTGTTTTTATCAGTTTAATTTCGGGAAATAACCTTCAAGAATTTGTATTACTAGAGACATATCTGTGACAGATCCATGTTGATGCAGTCGAATTTCAGCTTTCAGAGAACAGTAAGACACTTAATCATAAACTCGCTGAATCGCTACTGGAGGTCATTGGACTGGCGATCATTGCATGGGTGGAGGTGCACCGACGGCTGACTCTGGACGTTGCCACATCGTGTCAGTGAATTCTCAAACACATTTTCTTGTATTCTTCCTCAAGCAAGTTAATTTTTGCATTTTTCTCCAGTTAGAAACGCAAAATTGATCATTGTGGGTGGCGGTCACGGTTTGGCGTGCTGGCATTTGTTCACAATTACTCGGAAGAATGAAGAGCTATTTGATTATTTTTTGCTTTATTCATTACCAATTAAATCGTTTTACAAGATGGCATATTTGTCTTTGTGGTAATCGAAAGTGGTGTGCTAGCTGAATCTTAAGCTAACTCACCATTAATTACACAAAAATTTGAAGAGCAAGAACATGTAAATAATTAGAAATTAAATAGTTCTAATTAGTGGCATATCTGCTTTCGTGGTAATCGATTGTGGTTGCGCCCGCTTAAGAGAGGTGATAAAATGCTTGAGGGTCCATTGAACATATTTTAGCGGATTATTAAGTTTAGATTTTACCAGTTGTAAAAAATTGGATGAATATGTCCTTTTTGACCCTTTTCTCGCATTTCGTCTTTTTGTCCCCCATGCCCCACTTGTCGGTCTACTCCCATTAGTTGCCCTTGTCCCCATTTCCCGTTTGCCCTCTTGGCTCACTTTATCTCCTTGTTCCATTTTCCCCATTGTTCCATTGTCCTATTTTCCCCCTTGTCCCACATTGTCTCATTGTCAGTTTTTCGCCCCATTGTCACATTTGTTCCCTTGTTCCGTTTTGCCTCCCTTGTCCCATTTGGCTCTTTTTTTAATTTACACCCTTTCCCAATTTTGTACTTTTTCCCCCATTTTCAATTTCGTTCATTTTCTTCCCATTGTCTCATTTTGTCCCCTTGCCCTCTTCTTCCTTTTCCCTATTTGTCCCACTTGTCCCCATTTGTCTCGCTGTGTCTTTTTGGTCCTTCCGCGCACTGCGTCCTTCCGCACACTAAGTTAGATGTCTTGTTACATTAATAACTATTACCAGTACATTTAGCACTATACGTACATAAAGTTTAAAGAATTTTTTAAGAGCTGTTTTGGAGAAACTCGTGTTTTTAATATTTTTATATTGCCCAGATTTCACTCAGAATTGCAATAAACTACTACTACTACTACTACTACTACTACTACTACTACTACTACTACTACTACTACTACTACTACCATTACCACTACTACCACTTCTACTACCACCACTACTACCACTACCATTACGACCACTACACCTACTGCTACTACTACCACTATCACTACCACCACCACTACTACTACTACTACTACTACTACTACTACTACCATTACCACTACGACCACTTCTACTACTACTACTACTACTACTACTACCATTACCACTACTACCACTTCTACTACTACTACTACTACTACTATTACTACTACTACTTAGTGCCAGGAATTAAACCAACGCCTCCTAAATCGTTCTATGTAGATGGCGTTGATTAAACATCAGTAGCCAAAAGTATTTTTTCGCAAAATACGCCACATTTTTTTTCACGACGTTGGCCACACCGATGTTGACATCTGTAATATATATATATATATATATATATATATATATATATATATATATATATTGTGACGTACCTGGTAAGCGGTACTTTCCCGAAAAATAAATTATGC